ATTTCGATTTCCGGTTAGTTACGTCACGGGCGAACCAGACAAAATTAATTTGTTTGGTTTGAACAAGATTACCCCCTAGTGCTTTGCCAGTTTTGTTTCGTTTCTTCAAGGTTTCGTTTCAACCCCCAGTCTAGAATGGCCGTAAGTAGTACGCCATAGACTTATGCTCCTAGAAAGCGTACTGTCATGGCGGCCACTGCTTTTGCTGTCTATGCGGATTTTGCTGAGAAACATGTTGTGCACTATGGTCCGGACTATATTAGCCCAAGGGAAAGTAATTGGATAGTTGGTGGGAGCGCTGGTGGGATTTTCCCCCATCTTCCCTATCAAACATCTGCTGTTATTGTCTCCCCTCCCTTTTTGTGTTGATTACTCCTTCAATGTAACCCTTGTAAGCTTCGGCACATATGTGACCTACTTGTGTTGCAAGTGCCTTAAAACTCTTACTAAAACTAGAACTAAATCTAAGGAAAGCCAATACACCAGTCTCGCTGTAATCAATCAAGTACACCCGACACTTTACCCCCTGCCCCTCATTTAGCCCAAAAGAATCCAATGATGCGCTTTAACGACCGGAAAGACGTAAGGGAACACGACCTAGGTTATCACCATTCACGTCTAAGAAGTACACAGACATCGGAACAACCTTTTCTACGTTTAGAGTGAATTAAAAATTTGAAGACAACAAATAGGGGCGCATGAGTACAATTTCAAACGTCTGCAATGATCAAGGGCGCCAATGGTCGATCCTACTTAACTTCTGTTTTACTTTTACCTTGCTCTATATGACGGTTATCGTGTTGATGTAATCAATCAAGTGCACCCGGCACGTTTCCCCTTGCCCCTCATTTAGCCAAAAAGAATCCAATGATGCGCTTTATAACGACCGGAAAGACGTTAGGGGACACGACCTAGGTTTACACCATTCACGTCTAAGAAGTACACGGACATCGGAACGATCTCTTCTACGTTTAGAGTGACTTTAAAATTTGAAGACAATAAATAGGAGGGGCGTGTGAGTACGAGTTTAAACGTCTGCAATTTCCAAGGGCGCCAATGGTCGGTCCTACTTATTTTCCTGTACTCTGTTGCTTCTCTACTTCTGTTTTACTTTTACCTTGCTCTACATGACCGTTATCGTGGTGATGTGTAGTATATCTTCAAGCGAACTGAAACAGAACTGTTTTCGGATGTGTGTGTGTGTTTGTAAGCGTGTGTGTGCATGTGTGGGTGTGGGTGTGTGTGTATGTGTGTGTGTGTGTGTGTGTGTGTGTGTGTGTGTGTGTGTGTGTGCGTGTGTGTGTGCGTGCGTGTATGTATGCTATTGTGTTTTGATGTGTGCGTGCTCGTGAAAGGCGTCTGAAAAAAGTGAAAGTGAGGGAGAGATACAGACAGAGAGGAAGAGAAAAACAGAGATAGGTAGACAGACAGACAGGCAGACAGACAGACAGACAGGCAGACAGACAGACAGACAGACAGACAGACAGACAGACAGAGAGACAGACAGACAGACAGACAGAGAAATAGAGATATAGAGAGGGAAAGATGTAGAGAGAGAGAGATAGAGAAAGAGAGTGAGGGGGATTAAGTCATGGTAATATTTGAGCGTTTCAACAAATAGCAGATCAAGAGTGGGCGTTTTCGAAGAATATGAAATTGTTCAAAGAAGGTCAGAAATATTGGTAGTTTGTGTGTAAAGATTGGCAAATACAGCACTCTCTTCCGTTTGTTTCTCTAGAGATAAAAGTTGTGTTTCTTTCTTGTTTTGTTTTTTCGACATAGCAGCTTTTCTTTTATAGCATAGAAGCAAAAAGAACCTGAATGGGAGCGGAAAAAAGCGATAGCATTAAGAAATAAAATGACATGTCATATCAATTTTTCTATTTTCAATCAATAGCAGACAGGCAAAAAAAATTCTCCTTTGAAAGTTTTCCAGCACAAAGCACAAACACACCGGACCAGTGACGTTGTGCAGATTCTACCTCTTCTGTTCCCCTTGCCTGCCGATGTTTGCAGCTTTCAGCCATAAACATTCGCCCCTTTAGGAACCACAGACAAAGATGCTGACAGCGAGACAAGTCCGCCGAGTGACTTTTACATCAGATCTATTCTGTTTGTGTCGGATCACAGAACTCAGGGATAAAGATCAATAGCTTAAGCTCTCTGTCTTCATCCCTGTAGTGGCGAACGTACACTTTTCTCTCACTTTTCGCCAAAGTATCTCCACAAATCGGGGGTGGTGGGAAGGTGCTCTGGGGTGGTTTGCTTCTTCTTTTCTATCAAGCATTAGCCATTCTTATCATGGATGGTTGGGGGTTGCTCTGGTATAGTTTGCTCCTCCGCTTTTATCGAACATCTAGCGTCATCATCCCTGCTCCTTCTTTTCTTTATATGCTACTACATAGTAACACTTCTGAGCATCGGTACTACTAATATTACTAACTTTTGGTGCAAATGCCTTGAAACTTTATAAAGCCAAAACAAATCCCTTTCTCCCTGCCTTCGTTTCTTTGTATGTTATTTTCTTGCAGTACCATCTTTATTCTTTGTCAGTTTTATTATCTGTTTGGCAGGTGCTCTGGCGGAGTTTGATTCATCTTCCCTGTCAATCACATATCGTCCATATGTCCCCTGTCTGTGCTCTTTGTTTTTTAATCTGTAGAAGTAACACCTCTAATATTCTGCACTTGTGTGATCTATTTGTGTTGCAAGTACCATATAAGGCTTCCTAAAACTAAAACTAAACGCACCAAATCGTTCAGTGTTCTGTAGGTCGTTAAAAGGTGCCATCGATAAGTGGAAGAATTTGCGATTTATTCAGGCCCACGCTGTTCATATTTTGGTTCGTCGATAATTCTGATCCAATTTCCAGCCTGTCCGTATCATGTAGATCCAACTGGTCGAGTACATGTGCATACCTACTCATGCAGTTAGGCAATAACAGAGATGAAAGAGGAGGATGAAAGAGGTTTGCATGTAGAGTGGCCTTTATTGAGTTACGTCACATAAAGCGGTTTGTAGTTTGAAAAAGCAAAATACTTTGACTGGAGAAACAAGATGTTTGTTTTTGTTTGCTTGTCAATCTTTTGGCAAGCCATCAAAAGATGTGCAAAGATTTTGATGTGATAAAGTGGACCTCCACCACCTTCCACCCCACATACACAAAACATCTTTCTCATTACCCCCGTCCTCTCCGCTGTCTCACCCTCTCTCTCTCTCTCTCTCTCTCTCTCTCTCTCTCTCTCTCTCTCTCTCTCTCTCTCTCTCTCTCTCTCTCTCTCTTTGTGTCTTAACATAATAATACTAATAATATAATCAACATACTGTCTTTCTGCAGTCAGTAAACAAGGATAGTTGGAGAGTATCACTAGAAGGTCTTAATTTTCAAAACCCCCATTTTTTCCTTTTTATTTTTTTTTATTTCTGTATGTCAGCCAGTTTATGTTGTATCCCTGCACAGCACGACGGTGATTTTGTATATTCTTCTCTCTTTCTTCAAGTAAGTGGTTGGGGGTGCTGTTCTGTGGTTTGCTCCTTTTCCCCTGTCAAACATATATCGCCCTTATCTCTGCGCTTTTTTTATGTGTGTGTTTGTTACTCTCTCGTAACACATCGAGTCTTCGGCACATATATGACCTAAAATAGTATTGCAAATGCCGTAACTTACTTACTTACTTTACTCTATCCGTCCTCTTGTACCTCATTGCGTCGAGGGAAGAAAGAGTCTCTTTCAAGTTGGATAGCGCGCTCATATGACCTTAGCAGTTGCGAGCGCCGTAAAACGCTATACTACTACTACAGCAAGTTGGATAGCCCGGATGGGGGGAATGTCGTATGTTTTCAGGGAATCCTTCACAACCTCATCCAGGACTTCTTTGGTCTTCTTCTTGCCTTGTACCCTAATAAAAAAAAATTTATTACGCTTTACTGGAAAGCTGGTTAGATGCCATACGTGTCAGATGACCAAACCACCCGACTGTAGAACGCTTACAAAAACAAATAAAAAACGTCTCTCTTCAAACAATCAAGCCGTCGGATAACGTAATTTTTAGGTGTAGACAGCTTATTGCCCGCTTAATCCTGACCAGTCGTAACCTGTTTATTGTCACATGTTATCCTGGTGATGGGTTGAAGCTTAGCAAGTCTTATATCTGCTCTTTTCTGACACTGAACAGATGAGAGAAATAGTTAGGAGCTTTCACGTCAGCGGTCTTTGTTGCTTGTGCTTTCCTCTTCAATAGATGGACAGATTGGAAGGCTGTCTGTCAATGTCGACATGAGAGTAGATTTCATAACGGATTCGATTCTATACTAATGGGGAGACTTATGCATGAATTTCTACCTTTTAGCTAGTGGTTGGCAGGTGCTGTGATGTAGTTTGTTCTTTCTTTTCAATCGAATATCTTTTGTCTCTATCTCTTTTTCTTTTCTTTGTATGTGACTCTCAGGTAACACCCCTCTAGTGCTCGGCATTCATTTGAACTCTTTGTGTTGCAAAAGCCGTAACACCGCTTGGTTAACTCAGTTTGTATCGTGCTGCAACACGGAGCGAATCCCAGAGGGCATTCTTGAACTTGGGACATTTTATGGAACTTTCAAGGCTCTCAACCAATTTGTCTCAGTACCGGTACTTGTGGAGACGGGCGTTAAATTTGGAGGTCTGGCCTCTTAAATAACCTAATAGTCTTGATAGGGATGTTAAACTTACACACTCACATTTCACTTACTTATTGTGGTTAGGCTACGGGACCCATAATCGCGAGATTGCGGGTTTAGCGGTTTGAGCCTCAACTCGGTCCGAAGTTATGTCCTTGGGAAAGGCACTTTACACGAATTTCTCTTTTGACTCGGTCCTTTTGGAGGTCCCGCTTCTTAAATAATTTAACGGTGAAGACAGGAGCGTTAAATTGTACACCTTTTAATTTTCATTTAGTTGTTCGAATACCGTAAAACTCTTACCATTTTGTAAAACCCTAACCTACGTCGTCCGTCGTCCACAGCCGGTTTCTGGGGAGACATCGCCTTGTCGGACGAGGAGTACCGCAGCGCCAGGAAGATGATGATGTCCCGGCGCGCCAACAGCTCAGACGCCGACGGTCTGTTTGAGATACAGGTGGAAGACCCAGGGATACACAGGTACGTCTCTCTGGATGGACAGCTCTCCACCTCTGGGGGGTCGGCGCGGCGCTTTTCCCTTTTGTCAACCCGCAGCCACCTCCCGAATCGTCAGCCACCTCCCAACCTTTGACACGGGTCAAACTTCCATCTAATTATAGGTAGTTAAATCTACCGGAACATGTATTAGGCAAAGTGATGTGCAATGATAGTGGCAATAGAGAGATTGTTTTGGTCTCTCTTTACTCATCTGCACCACACGAATTTAATTGATGTTTTTCCCTGGACTCTGCCTTTACTAAAGTCTCGAATCTAGATCTAGTTGCAATCTAGTTGCAGGTTGCAGATGTAATAAATTGCCGACAGAGAGAGAGAGAGAGAGAGAGAGAGAGAGAGAGAGAGAGAGAGAGAGAGAGAGAGAGAGAGAGAGAGAAAGAGAGAGAGAGAGAGAGTGAAGGGGGAGGAGTAGATATTGCGAGAACTTCCGGGCAAAACAAAATGGCGACCCGCGTAGTTCAGCTCGATTCGAAAAGTGATAGAGCCATAGCATCTTTGTAGACGATCAAATTAGCTTACTTGTGTGCTATAACGTCATTTTTTTCTTTGCTTTTGTCAATTTGATCTTCCACACCGATAGAAAGTATTTCGAAATTAGGAAAAACAGGTCTTGTTTCACACTGGGTGAGAATAACCAACGCTGGCAAGTCTCACCCGGGGTGAGAGGTCAATCGTAGGGTTTTTATTCTCACCCCGGGTGAGGATAGCCACTTCCTTACTAAAATGATTAGGTGATTAAACTTGATCTCTTATTGACAATATAAAAGTCAATTTAAGCTTCATTTCGTTAGAAAAAAATGTGTAAGGTTTGCTAACTTCTTAGACTTTGTGATAAACAACACTTTTAACAAAACGAATCCTGGCCTTACAAGAGTAGGCTTTTGTAATCTCGAAGGTTTAAAAGTAGAAGTAGAAGAGTCTACTACTAGAATTTAGAGTCTAGTCCAATTTATCTCTTGAATGTACTGGATAACAGAAATCTGCAACCTGCCACTAGATTACAACTCTAGATCTAGATCTAGATTCGAGATTTTAGTAAAGGCAGAGTCCAGGGAAAAATTTCAAGAAATTCTCGTGGTGATGAGTAAAGAGAGACCAAACAATCTCAATAAATGATATATCGCGACTATCACGGCACATCACTTCACCTATACATGATCCGGTAACTACCTATAAATAGATGGAAGTTTGACCTGTGTCAAAGGTTGGGAGGTGGCTGACGATTCGGGAGGTGGCTGTGGGTTGACGAAAGGGAAAAGCGCGTCGGCGCGGGGGGGGGTTACTGTCCTTTTTTTTAAATGTGTTTTGTTTTGCATGTCTACCTGTGAGGGCACTTTTGGTGCATGGAAGTGGAGCCAAATTGGAAATGAAATAGTAATTAATCCACACACAGGAGAAAGAGGTTAAAACAGCACCTGGGTATGGATGTCTGGTGCCTCTTTGAATAAATTATTAATAGCCAAGGTCGAGGTCAAGGGTAGTTTTAGAGGGTTTATCTATGAGGTCTTCTATCTTCATTATTCATCTTTTGTTTTTGTCTATCTGTGTGAACATTTGGAGGGTTCCTCTCGTAGGAGGTTGTAATTAGTTAGTATCCCTCTTTTGTTCCTGTGTATCTGTATAGGTGGTTTGATGGATTCTTTACTAGGGTACGGAGGTGAAAGGATAATGTATATAGGCTAAAATAGCACAATGCTTGCTGCATTGAAACGATATATTTGACGTTTTTATTATCGATAATTCAGAAGATATTATCCTTTTCAACTAATTCTACCATGTTTTGTTGGCTTTTTCTTGAAATATGTTTTCTATCCTGGAATTGATCCGTTGGCGAATTGCTGGAAGGCGCTACTGAAAGGTCATGCTAATTTTCCATAACTCTGTGTATATCGTCTTCTTTCACAGCTCGGAATGTTATTATTTTAATTTGCGTCTTTTTTACTTACTCAAACCTACGAGCGTAGCTCCTAAATTATCTAAATTATTGCGCTGATGGGGGGGCTAAAAAACACCTATATTTTTGGTAATTTCTTACTCATACAAATTCTCCTTGTCTGCAGCCGGTACCACTACAAAAGTGTGGCCGAGAGGAAACGGCAGATCGTAGCTGACCGGAAGTACCTGAGGAAAGTCATCAAGGAAAAGCTGGCGGCTTTGAGGGAGCCCTGTGAAGACAGGTCAGTGACATCTTTAGGATAATTATAGGGTTCTATAGAGATTCAGGTGAAGAGAACAGGGGGAAAATGGGGCTTTGTCACAAACTGAAAAGCATGAGGGTATCTATTTTGAATGCTTGTTGACTCATAACTGTATTTTAAAATTGACACTCTCACGATTTCCAGTTAGTTACAATGCCCGTGCTATTCTCGTGTTATCACACACTAGAACACTAGAAATCGTGAGAAAATCATTTCCAAAGCTTGCAGTTGAAGACTCATAACTTCATTACTTTTGAACTGATGGTTTATTGTTATTGTGATCTGTATGGAATGTCAACTAATCAACCATCAGCTATCAACCCTCAGTTGAACAGAAGTGCAATTATTAGTTGACAAGCTCTTGAAATTGATAGTTCCAGTTTGTGATAACGCCCGTTTGTCTTTCGAGTCTCTCATATGTTGGCTTAACTTTTACAGTACTATATGAGGATAACAACGATTCACACTCATTAGCATATTATATATCATTAACACGTTACATTCCTTTAAGACGATCTTTTACATTGTCCATAACTCACCGGCAACACAGTGCGTCAACTGTCGTAGTGCACTACTAGGTTTTGACGTCGGTTTCATATTTTGCTTGCCACAGACATGTTTCTGCATTTTTGGGTTGTATTTTGTTGGGTTTTTTTGGTATTTATTTTTGTTTTGTTTTGTTTTGGGGTTGGTTATTTTTGGTTGCGGCTTTTTTTGTTTTTTTGTTGTTTGCTTGGTGGTTTTTTTTTTTGCTTTAAAGATGATGTCGAGTTGACTTCCAAGCTTTTCCTGTATTCATACCTCGCTCAGATTCGATCGTTGGTTTTTTTCTTCTTTTTTTGTCATTGTTAACAATGCCCTTGCTGTGTTAAAGGTTGGGTCCGACGTCACTTTAGAAACATGCACATTAGATTCGAAGAAACAGGAAAGTCAAACGAGAGTATTACGCCTTCTTGGTCTCATATGTGATGTCATTGTTTGGCCTTAAGTTTTTGCTGTAGAGGAAAAGAGCTCGATTCCTGCCTGGGAAAGCAATGTGAAAATGTAAGTCATTCACGATTAAGTACCCGCTGTGCCTATGGGAGGTGTAAAATAATCAGGCTACGTTTTTTTAGAAGTCGATTTTTTTTCAAAGCCTACTCGGTGACTTGCTCCGACCTTTGAGTGAGGAGACTTCAGAAAGTTAACTACATTGTACACCAGACAGCAAACAGACAGCGGCGAGCTTCCCTCGATCTGTAACCTTTCCTGGGTCGGAATGAGTCCGCTTGAGTTTTTTCCCGCCGTTTGCTCGGACAGACAGGTCGATGTCAGTCAGGCTCCGCTGCTTGGCGCCATCCATCGACCCGCACCTCGTGACACTTCAGCTCGAGTCACGTGACTCCCACCCAGACTTGAGCTCACCCCACTAGGGTGACGCAATCTTTATGTGGTGATCTCACCAGACAGCCTTTTGACGACTCAGCGTTTTAGATAATGAACGTCTCGCTGAACCGCTCAACAAATTGCTTGTTATTTTCCAGCTGTCTTAACTTGTCCTAAACAGCGTTACGTTTTTGTTTGTTTCAGTGGCGTCTGAATTATTTTTCCGTGAGTGTTTTGGGGGGTAGAGGTCAATCCATATCAAAGCCCACTAATAGCATGCTGTTCTGAACATAGGACAATACAGAAATAAAGAGAAGAAATCGAAATGCTCTTGAATGCGTATTCGTTTTGCTTACTGGAATTTAGAAATAGGGGCATAAAATGTAGAGAGTGGATTTGAAGATTGAAAAGAATATTGTAACCAAATAAGATAGACTAGACAGAATCAGAAGACGTAAATAAGTGAATAAGACAGTAGCGACTGATGGCATAAAAAATCCCAAGGCGACGTCGAATGTTGTAGTTGTCGAAAACTATAATTTGGCCAAAATTACTTCATCGACAGCCATGACGACTGAAATGGGTGAACAAAGAAAGACCAGACAGATAAAAGCGTTTTTTAATGCAAACATATTGTGTGTTTACATCGACACAATCTAGATGAGTTTGGAGGTGGGCTTCGTCTCCGTCTAACTGAGCCATCGCGGGCTGAGAGGAATGAAACGTCTCTGCAGGAAGACCGAGCGAGATACTCGATACAATTCTTCCCCACACGCACGGGAATGGAACTCATTTTCTGGGCGGCGCGACACGAAGCTGCTAACCACTGTACCAAAATACGCTGGAAGTTCAAAACTAAGCCAACAACAATAACAAGGTCGCTATGACGAAAACATTTGAGACAACGAAAACAGACTTGTCATTTTTTAAATTAAATTGTAGATACGGATTTTTACAAC